AAATAATAACTGCATATAAGGCCGCTCGGCCTATACAACTCAAAAGAAATGCGGAAGTCTATAACTCAATCCCAAAACCCGGAAACTCACAGGAACCACAGGCTAATAGAAATATTGTAAATGCTCTAATCTCGAGAATGTCTACATCAAAAGTATGATAGAATCTAAACACTACAGATAGAATAAGGAAGGAGACTCTTCGGTCTGCGGACGCTGTAGATATACCTCGAAGTCTCCGTAGCTCTCCTCGCCTCAAGGATAGTGCGCCTGAGTGGAGGTACCTGGGTCTGCACATGAAAAACATGCGCAGAAAGGGCATGAGTACACCACAGTGGTACTCAGTAAGTGCCAAGCCTAACCTCGGTTGGGTAGTGACGAGGAAGGTCAGGGCCCTACTGAGGTTAAACAATAAAATATAAATCAACAGTATGAAATTAGGAAATAACAGTAAGTACAACAGTGGAATAAGACAGACTAAACAAAGCAATGACAAATACACAAAGAACGGAACAAACACAGAATAAGTACAGCTCAATACCAATGGTAACAATGAGGATCTCCCAGGATACCGTCCTGTAGTCCTTTTCTCAACTGTCCAGTGGATCTCCCGGGATACCGTCCCATAGTCCATCATATGTGTGTATCCGAAGGATCTCCCAGGATAACGTCCCGTAGTCCAGCTATCAATGTGCAGGGGGATCTATTGGGAATCTAACCCGCAGTCCCGAAGTAAATGTACAGGGGGATCTATCGGGAATCGAACCTGCAGTCCCAAAGTAAACAAACAAGGGGAGGAGCTACCGGAATCCTACATCCGTAGTCCCAATGTAAATGCGCAACCACAACCAAAAGATATTCCGAAATGAAGTACAAAGACAAACATCAGGTAGTACTAGCCTAGCATGCTTCACGTAGTACAGTCAAGGCAACTTAAACGTTTAGGCAAGTTAAATCAACTAAACATGCTTTCCTAATCTAACACAAGTTATAACTGCAAGTAAAACAAGGCAAATATGAAGGGAACTCAGTCTCAATATCTTAAGTAGAAATCGGATTTTTCAACAATTAGCTCAAGTACGCGCCGTCACCTCACGTACACGGCACTCAATTACCAGATATCTATCCTAAGGGGAAAGGTCCCCCACGCAAGGTTAGACAAGCCACTTACCTCGAACCGGCACAAAATCAGCTAGAAATTACGCCCTTGCCATGAGTATCCGACTCCAAATGGCCCAAATCTATTCAATTCAACTACACATTGTAAATAACATCGCAAACAACTGGTTTTGCTACTAAATTCAAAGCTGCGACGTGAAATTAGGTGAAATGACCAAAATGCCCTTCAGGCCAACGCCTCGGAATCAAATAATTTTCATATTTTCAGAACCCTCGTACTCTCACGAGTCTAACCATATAAAAATCTCCCAAATCGGAGGTCAAATGCTCACTCAAAACGCAATGGTTTAGCCTATGAAGTTTTACCCAATTTCTTCCAATTTTGATCCCAAATTCGAATTTTAATGATGGATTTAACTACAAAATGATGAAATATAACTAGAAGGGATTAAGAAACGTTACCCAATAGTCTTCTCTTCAAAACCCTATGAAAATCGCCCTTACCCGAGCTCAATTTGGTTTTTCTAACTTATGAAATCAAACCCTCGAATTTTCTATATCAGAACAGGCATTTCCGCTTCTGCAGACAAGGGACCGCTTCTGCGGTCCCGCTTATGCGGAAACAAGCTGCTTTGCGATCTTTAATTAAATGGCCAGGACCGCATCTGCGGTAAATAAGCCGCAGGTGCGGAAGCGCATCTACGAGGGACAATCCGCTTCTGCGGAGACTAGGGGGCCATTGGGCTTCGCTTCTGCGGCGGGTAAGCCGCTTCTGCGGCTCCGCCTATGCGGGAGAAGAACCGCTTTTGCGGTTTCTGAGGGAAAGGGCAATAGCCGCTTCTGCGGCCATCTAGCCGCTTCTGCGGCGCCGCATCTGCAGCTATCAGCTGCTGCACACTTCAAAATTCTTCCGTTAACCACCCGAAATCATCCCGAGGCCCCCGGGACCTCAACCAAAAGCACCAATAACACCTAATACCTCATTCAAACTTGTACCAATCCTTAAACCACCTAAAACAACGCCGGAAACTCGAATTAAACAAGGATTTGAGCCTAAGAACTTCAATTTTTATCAAAATACGCTTTCGATCAAAAACCTAACCAAAACACGTCCGAATGACCTGAAATTTTGCACACACATCCCAAATGACATGACAGAGCTACTGCAACTTCCGGAATTCCAATCCGACCCTCGGATCAAAAACTCACTATCGGACCAGAAACTTCAAAAATTCAAACTTCGGCATTTCAAGCCTAAATGAGCTACGGACTTCCAAAATACATTCCGAACACGCTCCCAACCCCGAAATCACCGAACGGAGCTAACGGAACCATCAGATTTCCATTCCGAGGTCGTCTTCACACTGTTCCGACTTCGGACCATTTTTCAACACTTAAGCTCTCATTTAGGGATTAAGTGTCCCAAAACACTCCGAATCCTAACACCGAACATCCCGGCAAACCAAAATAGCAGAAATGAACTTAGGGGAAGCAGTTAAGGGGGGATCGGGGCGTAAATTCCAAAAATGACCGGCTGGGTCGTTACATGGACAAAAGGTCTTCATTCCGAGAATGTCATTAACTCTATCTGATGCAAGAATACCTTTTAAGTTCCAACGAAGGAAATTTCCAATAGTTGTATCCTTTGCAATGACTATAAACAAAAGTCAAGGACAATCTTTATCTCATGTTGGGTTATATTTGAAGAAACCGGTCTTCACACATGGGCAGCTTTACGTTGCTCTATCACGAGTTAAAAAAAGAAAGGGATTAAAGATTTTGGTTTATGACGATGATGGAGAAATTTCAAATGAAGCAATAAATGTAGTTTACAAAGAAGTTTTCCATAATTTACTTGGAGAATGAAAGCAAAACTGATCTGAAAGTTCATAACATTTTTTATTCTCATGCTTCTGTCTTTGCTAAACCATATTGGAAATAAACTTCAGAAACAATAGTTGACAACTTCAATTGGTATGCTTATCTGTTATCTCATCATCATTGGTTGTTACTATTTTGAGTTACTTTGAACTAATAAATTCTTAAGGTTTAAATATACTAACAAACAACTCGCAAAGTTATATTTCTACCACTAATACACGGTACTTCAATTCTAATCTTCCTACTGCTGTCAATTGATTTCAAGATAACTTAGGGCTTATACAAAAGATGGCTACTCACATTGATTTCATCAAGGATATAACAATTTCGAAGATGCAATGGAAGTTGAAAGTTCGGGTTGTCCGTCTGTGGGAAGTACCGGATCGTTTTAATCCAGGCACTATATTCTCGATTGAATTGGTTCTACAAGATGAAAAGGTATTTTAAATATGTTATTGCCTTGCTAATTCGTTTTGCTCTCTTTCTGAACTTGCTAATTGTCACGACCCTAAACTCGGACCCGGTCGTGATGGCGCCTCTCGTGAAGACGAGGCCAGCCAATTAATCCAACTTATCTTTTTAGAATAGTTAACATTAATAAGCAGCTTTAATATGATTAAGAAACCACAGTCTATTAAAAGATCTCTTTAATAAGTGCAAAATAAAACCCATACACTGCCCAAACCGGGGTGTCACAAGTCACGAGCATCTATCAGAGTATAAATACAACTACAAGACCTAAAATATACAAAGCCGGAATAATGAACCAAAAGAGAGAAAAATGGTGCTGCGAACGCAGGCAATCACCTCGCTACTCCTATAGCTCTGCTTCTGATCAGCCAAAACCCGCTACCGGGTGAACAAATACCTACATCTGCACGCAAGGTGCAGGGAGTAAAGTGAGTACTCCAACTCAGTGAGTAATAAGGGTAAATAACAACTGAGCAGTAAGAAATCACGTAAAGCAAACCATCATGCTATATAGGGACAGTGAAAAACCCTTTGAGAGAAAGCAGTGAAGCTGGAAAAAAAATTTTAGAAATATCTTAGCTCAGTTTAAAACCTCTTTTGAAAATGACTTTTTTAACAATTATGCAATTGAATGCAAAACAAATAGTGCAAATAAGCACAGAAGTCCGCCTCTCGGGCACCACACTCGGTTATCAGATAATACCAGAGCAACAGGTAAATATTGCAAGAAGTAGCACAAACAGCATATAATGGCAGACAATGAAATAAGGTAAACACATCAAACAGTACCGGTACCGCTGCGGCGTGCAGCCCGCTCTACATATCGCTGCGGCGTGCAGCCCGCTCCGTTTATCGTCGACGGCGCTCACTGGGGGTGTGCAGACTCCGGGAGGGACCCCATACGGCCGAAGCGCAATATCAAGACATCTCGTGGCATCAAACTAGGCCCTCAGCCTCATATCAATAACAGTATAACACTACTGCGGTACGCAGCCCGATCCATAAGTATCCTCACAATACAGGCCCCCGGCCTTACTCAGTCAACAAAATCACATAAGCCACTCGGGCAACAATAAAACAGTGTTTCTCAGCCCAAAACATCATTTAAATATCATTTGAGTATTAAAACTATGTGAACGTGGCTGAGTTTTGAAAACAGTAGGAAATAACATGACTGAGTTCAAATATATATAATTAAATCAGTGAGGAATTATCAACAACAATCCCCGAAGGGTTCAAATAGTTGGCACGAAGCCCAAATATGGCATTTAGCCCAAATAATGATGATAGCAAACTGATTTCAATCAAATACGTGGTAAAATCATTAATCGGGATGGNTCAACGAATCTTTCAATTTCTTATTTATTATATTCGGATAAGGTAACAATAAATCTACTTTTACCATACTTCAATTGTATCTGCAATATAAGAATACTTATTTATTTACCAACAAATACTTTTATTTAGGTCCAAAAAGTAAGCATTTCAGAGATAATATTAGAAGTTATAACTCAATGTTTTCATTTACCTCAATGGGAGGAAAAGTTGATGCTTCTGTCAACCAAACAAAGGGGCCAAGAACATTCAAATTATCTGGACAAAACTATCATCAAATCGGGAGTTTATTGCCTCCTGAAGGATCCACTCCCAAGTTTGCCCAATTATATATATACGACACAGAAAACGAAGTTCAGAATAGAATCCATGCACTGGGGTTAGTATTTAATTATTACAAATTTATATATGCATGAATAATCTAACAAATACATAAGTTAGACCAAATTTATCAAAACCTATGTTTATGCAGTCGTGGTGATAGAATAAACCAACTTCATGCTGAAATTGTTCAAGATGTGAAACAAATGCTTGATGACCAGAATGTTTTGACAAAGTCATTTAGAATGGTGAGAGACAAATTTCAGGAAGATAGTCAGTCCAATGTTAGACTCAGATTGATAGGAAAACGTAACTATGATGGAAGAAAATACAACTTACCAACAATTTCAGAGGTTGCTGCTTTGGTAGTGGGAGATTTTGATGTATCTAGATGTGACCGAGACATCATCGTTGAAACACAGTCTGGACATCTACAAAGGATAAATGAGTTGAATGCTGCCTATTTAGGTCTTCAGTATCCTTTATTGTTTCCATTAGGTGAAGATGGTTATAGGGAAGACATTCCTTTAAATGGAAATGACGAATCAAGTGGAGGAAGGAATTTTGTTAGCATGCGTGAATATTTCGCATACAAAATTCAAGAAAGGAATAGCGAATTACCAACAATTGTGAACTCAAGACGATTATTTCAACAATTCTTGGTCGATGGATTTACAATGGTTGAATCGTCTAGGTTGAAGTATATCAGAACTCATCAAAAACAATTGCGAGCTCATATGTATAAAGGATTAGAAGATGCAGTTTTACATGGAGAGATAAATCCTTCTTCTCAAGGTAAAAGGGTAATTCTTTCATCTAACTTCACAGGGGGTGCAAGATACATGATTCAAAATTATCAAGATGCTATGGCAATCTGCAAGTGGGCTGGATATCCAAATCTCTTCATCACATTTACTTGCAACCCAAAGTGGCCTGAAATAAGTAGATTTGTAAAGAGCAAGGGCTTGCAACCAGAAGATCGCCCAGACATTTTATCTAGGGTGTTCAAAATCAAATTGGATCGTTTAATAAAGGATTTGAAAGAGAAACAAATTTTTGGATCAGTTAAATCAGGTATATATTTAATCTATTTTAATAAATTCTTATCATATTTGTGAGCACGTGATTTTTGCCCTATGTATGAATTATTCCAAAAATTCCAAACAAAATGATTTCTTTGCAATTTTATGAAGTTTGTGTTATTTTTTGTTAATTGTTTGCATTTATTTGTGCATTTTTAATTCATATGAAAAATATAAAAAATACAAATACTTGGCATTTGCATTTAGAATTTAATTTCACATTTTTAGGATTAATTAGTAGTTGAGTTATTTTTAGGAAGAGGAAAATATCAAAATGGTCTTTTTTGCATTTTTAGTTTTAATGTGTTTTAATTTACATTTTAATTTAGCATTTAATAAAATCAAAATATAAAAATGAAAATCAGAAAATGAGCTGAATAAAAACAAATAAAAAAAAAAGAAAGAAAAAAAAAGGCATTAAAAGAGGGTTGATTAATATAGAACCCAAATTGGGCCATTTCAGTCAAAATAACCAGCCCAAAAGAAAAACCCCTCTCCCAAACCCGGTCTCCCAGTCCAGCCCAAATCACCCCAGCCCGGTCCGGTCCCACTTACCACCCAAAACGACCCCGTTTGGCCTTAATCAATCCTGGTCGTCGAGGTTTCATGATCTAACGGCCAGGAAGCTAGGGCCGCTTAATATATATATGTCCAAACGCACCCCCTACCCCCTCGTCACCCGTCTCTCACCCCCAAACCCTATAGACTCTCAGGCCACCACCCTCCGCCGCTGTCCGCCGCCGGAAATCGCCTACGGCGGCGGCGGAGCTCCAACTGCCTCCAAACGAACACCCTTAAACCGCCTTCCTTTCCTCTTTCCAATGCCCCAAATATTTTCCCTCGAATGTTAGCCAATCTGCTCAAATATTCGAAAATAGTGGCGCCGCCTCCGCCGCCCACGGCGGCGCCACCACCAAATGGCCTCAATTTAACACCATACACTCCCCTCACTCTCCTCTTCCAAAATCTGCAACTAGAATCTTTCAAATCCAAGCGAAACCTTAATATTTTTAGATCTAGGGTTTTCAAGTCAACACTATTTTGGGAGTTTTTCAGTACTCGGATGATTTTTGGTAATATGATATGTTTATTTTAACAAAATAAACATATAACATTAACAACAATCAATCTCGAGAATCGATCAAGAGAAGGCATATCAGTGAGTTTGTTCTTTTCTTTCTTCCTCGTTTAAATTTTTTTTTCCTTCTCTACCATTGATTCTGTTTTGAGTTTTGGGTTCAATATATTTTTATTTATTCTGTTCTTGCAATTGTTTTATTTTTAGTTTAGCTTTTGTTTTGGTTAACCCTGTGTTAGACATTAGTTTAATTAGTTGTTTAAATTTGTTTGAATAGTCTTTAAGTCTTTAGGGCACTTTTGATTTCAATTTTTTCTTCAGTATTTGATCTTTTACTGTTATTATTGGTTAGTGGTAATTAATTAGTTTAGTTTAGTTTAATTCAGTAATTGCATTAGTAATTCCATGTTCAGGATCTAGCTTAAGTTTTGTTGGTGTTCTTCATGTCAATACTGTTCCCAGTTTTCATATACGATTTAAGTGTTCTGATTTTAGGTTCAGTTAGTCGACTCATAATTGTTTACTGCAATTTGATTTTAATTGTTCCAACCTCTTGAGTAGCTAATTTGTCTAGTTTGATTAGCCCTAGAAATAGATTGTTTGGTTATAGCTGATGGATTAGTTTAACTTGGTCAGTAATTTCAGGGGATGCTAAGGGTAGTTTAGCATGGGAAAAGGGTAGTTTAATCAGATTTGGTAATTGTTGAGGTAAAGTAAGGGTAGAATAGGAATTGTAATGGGTATAGAACCTTCTAGGATGGACTTTAGTATGGATTTCAATAAAATAGGTGTAGCTACTTGTGTAACAAGTCAAAAAATAAAGGGTAAAAATAGAATTAAAATAGGGACTAATGGGTAAAGTGAAAATCTGAAATTGGACCCTAAGTTCAGCTATAAATAGGCATTCATTTCCCTTGTATGAGGAGGTTTTTCAGCTCTAAAATTCCTCCCAAAAAACATTCTTCAAGTTTTCATATAACAGAAATTCAAATCCAAACTCCTTTAGATCTTAGCTTTTCTTCAAAAATTCAAAAAAAAAAATCAAAAAAATATAACAGAAAAAGTCAAAAACACTGTTACATTTGAGTTCCTTGGATCAATTTCCAGTTTGTGTCAGCAATTGTCTCGAATCTCTGGCTAGTTTAAAGAGGAAAACAACTTGAAAATCCTTGTGTTTGGTTGACTGAAGTTCCAGAAGTGTTCTGGGTTTAAATTCGAGTTAGTTTTGGGTATGTGTGAACTGTTTTGGGTGTGTCATTGATTAAAAGTGGTCTGGGATGGTTGATATGGTTTTCTGGGCTTATGGACCTCTGATATGTGCTGTTGAACTGCTGTGATATTGTTGATTCCTGTTGCTGTGATTCGCTGAACTGCTGCTGACATTCCTCTTTTCTCTATTACTTTACACTTCCAGGTACACATTTGAAACTAATTTGATGTAGCATCTCCTGTTGAAGAGATGAAATGAAATGCTCAGCCCTCTGCCTCCTGAAATGTGTTTGTCCGGGCTGCCCTGGTTGAATAAATAGTAGTTGATTTGTATATACTTAAGTTTAAGTTTGATTTGTGTTTACATGGTTCCTGGGTTGTATAATTTGGACTGCTTGGGACTGTTTGTGATTTTTAAACTTGATATTCCTCATCTAGTAGTAGCTTGGTACAGAATAGTGTTAGTATAGTAGTAAATATCAATGGTAATACAATTAATTCAGATTTAGTTATCATATCCCTTAGAAGTTGAGATAGAACTCAAAATAGATGCACGTTAGTTATCAAGAGCAGTGGTATTTTGTAATTGTTCATACGCTAATTAATCTAGCTGTTTCATTTACAGATTTAATCCACGCACAGAAATTCATAAGAATTTAACATGTTTGGTTAACCTTGTATAAATTAGTTGAATATGTGTAGGATAATTGGATTCAAAGGGTAGTACGTTAGTTTGAATTTAGAGTTGATTGTGTGATGGCCAATAATGAAGGCAGTGGTGAGTGAATCAGTAAACCAAGATGCAAATAAAATCAGTAAGAGATTTGGGCTCCTCTAAGGCCCCCAAACGTAACCGCTTCTGCTCAAACCAGACTTGGGCCCGACTCTGCTTAAGGCCCAGTGCTGGACCGCCCTCTCCCTCTCTTATAGTTAAATAATTTCTCCTTTGGGGTTGCTTTGATGCCCAATCTGCTAAAGATCTTAGTTTGTTTATTAAGTTTGATTCAATATCGTGACGTAAATACTTTTATGGATGGGTTATTAGTAGTGTTAATTCATTAGGGCCTTTTCTTTTATTTTAAATGACAATACATAATAAAAATCCTAGTTCCTTTAGATCGCCCTTTACATAATAAAAGGAGGCGAGCCCCGCCAAACCAAATGCATAAATTGCGGGGCCCTCTTTAAAGGTTCCCGTTAAAATACTTAGAATTCGGGTGAACCGTTTAGCGAATTTCACAGTTTTCCCCAAAGATAATAAAAGCGTAGCTTCTTTAGGCGCGTATTTTAATAATATTACCTTCCTGAATGCGGGTGCACATTTATGTGACCCAAATCTAAATCTCAACGGAGTCAAAATGCGTCGAAAGCCACGGGTGCACTGGTGTGACGTGGTTCGAGATACATTTTCACGACGTTGCAATTCTTATTAAAAAGACATAAAATAAAAGCGTTTAAAATAAAGGGCCATAGGTTAGAATATGTTTTAAAATCAGATAAAAGCAAATACGACAGTTGAGCGACCGTGCTAGAACCACGGAACCCGGGAATGCCTAATACCTTCTCCCGGGTTAACAGAATTCCTTACTCGGAGTTCTGGTTCGCGGACTGTTAACAGAGTCATAATTTCCTCGGATCGGGATTCAACCGGTGACTTGGGACACCATTAATCTCCCAAGTGGCGACTCTGAATATTAATAATAAATCCCGTTTCGATTGTCCTTTAATTGGAAAAACTCCTTTATGCCCTCACGGGTGTAGGAAAAAGGAGGTGTGACAGTAAGTATCAGGTTAAAATAAGAGGAAGGTTCACAAAATGCAGTACTACCTGCTCAGCAAGGTTGTCTCTGTCTCTGCTCACTTCTTCTAACTTTGCGTGTTCGTACATTCTCTTGGCCTATAGCAAAACAGAAGAGTCAGAAAAACAAGGAGGAATACTTGGAGCACTAAAGGTATGCGTTGAAAGGTTATCACCTGCTGATGGAGCCTCCCTGCTTCCTCAATAGCAGTGGGAGCATCAAGATCAATGTCTTCACCAACGCCGTCGAGGAAGTTGTCAAGATCACATCCTCCCTCGAGGGGACTCCCTACGTTGGTAACTTTTGGGCCCTGCACATCATTAAGCTCCCTAGATGAGAATCGGGGACCAAAATTAAGGCCCTCCAGAACATCAAAAAAACCAAAGGCCAAGTCCTGTCCCCGAAAAGCTACCGGCTTAGGCCCTTTGGAGCCAACAACAGCAAGTTTCCCAATAAGGACCGTGCCAGGCCTGGTCAAGGATTCAGGGGATGTATCCACGCCCTCCTCGAGGTCTTTCGAAGCATGAGCTCGAGCCAAATCAGCCATTCCCGACTCGGTGACCCTCGGCATACACACTTGAGGGACATCCATGCCCGACCTCTTCCTTTGTACCAAAGGGATATCATCATCATCATCATCATCATCATCATCCTCGCCATCGGAACTTGCTCCAGAAGCTGAAGATGAGACCTCGACCCCAGCTCGAGGCTTGCGAGACTTTGGCTTCTTTGATATAGGGGACTCGGCATCCGTCCCCTTTTTCCTCTTTTTTCCCTTATCGAGTTTAGAGGATTCTCCCTCGCCGGCGGGGGGCGATCTCATCTGCTCTCCATCGCCATGGCCTGCGCAAATGTAGTAATCAAAATTTATTAGTACGGAGAATATGGGGAAGAAATATGAAAACGTGATAGAGGCGGAAAGAAGGGGCTTACCATGATTCTTGGCCACC